AGCCTAAATCTGTCTCTTTGCAGCCAATATATGTATTTATGACCTTTAAGGCCAAGCAATTACAAATCTAATCCCTCTTTCACATGACAGACTTTCAAGTACTTGAAGACTGTGACCAGGTTTCCCTTGAGTTCTTCTGGCTAAACATCCCTAGTTCCATCAACCACCCAATTTTTATAGGATAAGGATGCAAAGCCACTTTTGTTTGACTTCATCAAGGAATTCTTCAACTTATCAGTGCCTCCAAAATGTAGGGTCCTGAACTGAGAATCCATGATTTTTTTATTACCATTTTATTTTTTCCACTTAATAATACTTTTTTTCCCAATTACATGTAAAGATAGTTTTCAACATTCATTTTTATGATTTTGAGTTCCAAATTTTTCTCTGTCCCTCCCACCCCACCTCCTCTTGCATCCCACCCCCTCCCAAAGACAGTAAACAATCTGATATAGGTCATACATGTACAATGATGTTAAACATCTTCCACATTAGTCATGTGAAAGAAGGATCACAACAAAAGGGGGAAACCACAAGAAACAAAAAAATAGTGAAAATAGTATGCTTCGATCTGCGTTCAGATTCCATAGTTCTTTCTCTGTATGTGGATAGCATTTTCTACCATGATTCTTTTGGAACTGTCTTGGATCATTGTGTTGCTGAGAAGAGCTAAGTCTATCATAGATGATCATCACACAATGTTACTGTTACTGTGTAAAATGTTGTCCTGGTTCTGAGCATTTCACTCAGCATCATTTCATTTAGTCTTTTCAGGTTTTTCTGAAATTCATCTGCCCACCATTTCTTATGGATAGCACAATAGTAATCCATCACATTCATATACCGCAACTTGTTCAGCCATTCCCCAGTTGATGGGCATCCCCTCAATTTCCAATTCTTTGCCACCACAAAAAGAGCTGCTATAAATATTTTTGTACATATGGGTCCTTTTCCCTTTTTTATTATATCTTTGATATACCTATATTGTAGTGGTAGTGGCTCAAAGAGTTTACACAGTTTTATAGCCTTTTGGGCATAGTTCCAAATTGCTCTGTGGAATGGTTAGATCAGTTCACAACTGCACTAACAATGCATTAGTGTTCCAATTTTCCCTCATCTTCTCCAACATTTATCACTTTCCTTTTCTGTCATATTAGCCAATTTGACAGGTGTAAGGTGGTATCTCAGAGTTATTTTAATTTTCATTTCTCTAATAATGATTTAGAGCCTAGGGTCCATGATTTTTTAAAATATTTTGGTAACTATTTTCCTTTATAATCCTGTGTATTTTATTTAATGCTTTTAAAAAGCATTATGCTAAAGAGAAATCCATAGACTTCTCCAGACTGCCAAAGGAATCCATGATATATAATAAAGATGAGGACCCCTGCTCTGGATTTAGTCTGACCAGGACAAAGTGCAGAAAGACTATTATTTCCTTATTCCTGGTAGCTGTTTATTGCTTAATGTAGTCCAAGGCTATATTCATTTTTTTCATTGTCATTTCACATTTAAATTATTGTTTGCAAACCAATAAAGCCCCCAATTGTTTTTTTCCAGACAAATTTCCCTCTAAAGAGGCCTCTCCAGTTTTGTACTCATGAAGTCAATTTCTTATACCTAAGTTCAAGATTTTAAATTTATTAATATTAGATTATGTCACTTGTTTTAAGCCCAATGTTCTAACCTTTTAAGAACCTTTTAGTTCTTACCTGTTTTAGCTATATGTCATCCTCAACTTTGATAAGGATGTCATCTATGCCTTTAACCAAATCATTGGTAAAAATCCCATCTGTGCCCTTCACCAAGTAATTGATAAATATGTCAAGCAGCATGGTCACATGACAAAATCCCAAGGGATAGCTTAATGTTTACTCTCAAAATGGCCCTAAGGAATTTTAGACTGAGAGTATGTGAACTTCCCATTGTGATCTCTGGAGGCTAAGGAAATGCCCTAAATATCCTTAACATCCCCTTAATATGTCATTGTGGATTTCTTATCCCTGAATTTATCAAAACCCTTCTTGAATCTATTTATATACTTAAGAGGTATATAATGACATCTCCAGATAACAAGTTCCATATGCTTATAGCTCATCTCATCAAGAATCCAAGAAGCAAATGAACGTAAATTTTGGATTAGCCCCAATCGTAAATAATACCATCAGTAAAGAGAAGCTTTCAACATGGGCACACATGCAGATTTAGAAAAACATCCAAGGATGTCCTTTGTGAAATGAGAATTAGTTTGCCACCGCCCAGCAGCACCTGGTTTTTATGAGCACAAGAACAGTTTTCCATTCTGTATTGGAAAATGTAGTTTCCAGACATGAGTTGTCCCTTGGGAACATTGCAATTCCCTGTTCCCCAATTTCAGCATATGGCACAGGACTGCAAAGCCCAAACAAGTGAGCACTCCACAGAACCCAGAGTGGTGTGAGCAACAGTTTTCTCTCCCTGCCCCAACCTAGAGCTAGCTATATTGGAAGCAAAACTTGAGAAGTGTTGCTAGAACATACTGCAAATTACAAAATGTGTGGGTCTTTGGAACTGTTTTGAACATTTTCATATTTTCTAACTCCTGTTTTTACCAAGATAACCAATGTAGCTTAGAATGTCTCACAAATATTTTCAAGACATAAAAAGTAACTTCTAGCATATTTCATGTGGGCTTTTCTTTTTTTAGCTTTTGCCTTATACAATATCCATACTGTCTTAATTGATGATGCTAGGAAGAAATTATGGTCTTTTAGAATTGGGAAAAACTAGAATTAATCCAAAGGTTCTTACATTTCAGAGGAACTGTGAACTTGGTAAAAAAAAAGTTACATCTTCAATGTCATTAACTTCTAAATGAAATTTAGCCTTTCCTTCAATTATAAGCATAGGCAACAAACATTATTCTGAGAAGTGATCCATACTATGAAAAAGATTAAGAGTCCCTGGGATAGTCAGGTTTTTTATGACATTGGAAATTATTACATAAAAATATTACTTATTTGTCATAATAGTTACCTGAATGACTACTCAAATATTCTGTCACCTAATTTATTTAAATCAATTTTATCACCCCTCTGCAATTATGAAAGGTCTTCTCTTCTCTTGATAGGGAAGCATTATTCCCATTAGGATTAATTAATGAAGTAATTAGAATTAATGGACATTTTCCAGTATAGAAGAGCCTAAACCTCATCTTATAATATACCCATAAGATTTTGCTTCCAAAGATCAACCTCATAGAGAAGCAACAGCACAAAATACTTTAGCTCCTTTTATTTATTCTTATACTGTTATATTTTAGCAAATACTGGACCTGCCCTTTGGTTAAAGTTGTAGTATGCACCACAATTTATAAAATTTCCAACAACCCATGAAATAGATCATAAAAGAGAGGCTTCCAATTAGTGTTAGTTCCAGACACAAAGACAAGAGAAGCTTAACAAATTCCCTATTATGATTTGTTTAAAAGTTAGCCGATCATTATAATTTTGTCTATCACAGTTTCAAAAATGAAAAACCATTGGAAAACATATTCAAATCAAGTGTAGTAGTTTAAAAAAAGCCCTAGATGAGGAGTCAGGGTACCCTGGCTTTTCAATGTCATCCTGGGGCAAGTTGTATTGTATTAACTCCTGTCAATTAGGACATCTGTAAAATGGGTGCCAGTTTATTACCTTTGAGGTGTGTATATTTCATAGGATGTTATGACTCACATTGGGAAATTTTAATCAAAGTGGATTAAAATCTGAGAAATGCTAAACAAATATAAAGTCATTATTATTATATTATAAGCACAAACTATTTAATGAAAGAATATTGATCTAAGTGAATGAATGAAAGATTGAGGACAAGAATTCAAAACTCTTGCTAACTCACATCTAATACTCTTGCCTTTACATGTTGAGGTCACTATGTTCACTTGATCTGAGTACTTCATATAGGGATAAGTACAAAATTAAAGCAAGGTTTGCTTTTCATCAGACCCTCACCACCTCCAATATAAGCTGAACTAATTTCTAAAAATTTACAAAGACAAATAATAACGGGGAGTTTTATCCTTTAAACAGGTAAATAATAATAGTTATCCTTTTTAAAAAATTTTTTTGAAGATTGGTAGGAAAAAATGGTAGGAAAGATTCACATATAATTAGTTCGTGATACCAAATGCAAAGAATTAAATTACAAGTAAGCATATATTAATAGAATCTGAATGTCTTACAGAAAAAAAAATATTACCTTATAAATATTTGAAGAGATTTTGACACAAAATGTAGGAAAGAAAATAAATCCCAATCATCAGTATCATGAGATTAATCTAGAACAGGAGAAAGGGTAGGACACTTCATGAAATCTGACAAAACATAGCAATGGTTTTTAATTCAATTAAACAGACATTTATTGGTATTTGATTATGTGTGGGGCCGTTGATCATTATTTCCTAAAGGTTCCAGTTTTCTTTTACATCCCCCTTGTCCTATTTCAATGGAGAGTAACTATTTTTGTCAAAAAAGTTACTAATAGCATTCTTCATGGAAACCCTTGTAAAAAATGTAACCCATGCCATTCAGTAAAGGATCTATCAAAATTGTTTTCTAAATTATTCCCAACCCTTTCCAAACCCAAAATGACCTCCATGCTCAGGGAGCTTTGATGTTGCTGGCAACAGATGATATGCCCTGATCAATATGTATGATAGTGGGAAATCTGAAGAGCCTTTTTGGCATCTGCTTAAAATAATCTACACTGGGAATAGGAGAGATTTACCAAAAAAAGAAATCAATAAACATTTGTGGCGATAATGTTAAGATTAGGCCAAGTTACAGATTTGCTTGACTCATGTCTATTAAAGGGTTTTGCTTTTCTAAGATGTGAAACTGCTACGATTTTTCCAGGCTCCTTTCAATGTGAAATCTTTACCTCTTTTCTCATCTTCTTCAATATGCCTTTAATCATAACATTCAAAATTATTTCACTGTCAATTAAAATTAATGTTTCCTTAGGTTAATCTGCTGGCTTTTGGGGTGATCATCTACAAAGTTTTTCGACACACTGCAATGCTAAAACCAGAAGTTAGTTGTTATGAAAATATAAGGTAAGTTTTCTTCTAAGTCTCCTTTCTTTGGTAAGGCAGACCCTTCATTAATCTATACTACAAACAATCTATGGCCAAAGTACTCAGAAAATAGCAATTTCACTCTCATTGTTTTGCAATACCATTTAACATATTTTTAAGATTTTTAATCACCATAGATAAGCTATGTTGGTATAATAGAATGTGGGATTTAGAGTAAGGAAGATTTGGGTTCAAATCCTGCCTCATATATTAGCTGCATGACATTGGATGAGACATTTAATCTGTCAAAGCCACAGCTTCCTTATTTGTAAAGTCACAGGGTTCTTGTGAGGTTCAAATGAGAACACAATTCAATTAACTAATTATTTATTAATGCTTACTAGACACTAGGAGTACAAAGACAACAACAAAACAGTCAATGACCTCAGGGAACTTACATTCTAGAGTCAGCTAGGTGGCTGAGTAGAGAGTGCTAGGCTCTGAAGTCAGTAAGACATGACTGAGTTCAAATCCAGCCACAGACACTAACTAGTCATGTGACCCTGAGCAAGTCACTTAATGTCTGTTTGCCTCAGTTTCCTCAATGGCAAAATGGAGATATAGCACCTACCTCCCAGAGCTGTTGAGAGGACATATGAGTAAATAATACTTTCAAAGCTCTTAGCACAGTGCCTAACAAATAGTAAGCCCTACATAAAATGCTAGCTTTTATTTTTGTTATTACTATTACACTAGATGGTGCTTAGCCAACCTTTAAGTGCCATCTACTCAAATACTCCAATGAACCAATAATTTCATTGATGTGTGTCCTCAGTGATCATGCAGATCTCAAACCATGCAAGCATCCCATTTTTGTGTTATTCTTCTCCATATCTTCCAACAAGTTGGCCACAGGAGGTCTTCCCAACATGCTAGGGGTCTTTCTTGATTTCTATGAACATCAGGACGACGGCCTATACTATATATATGTCAGTTATTATTACATAAAAAGGGATTGCACTGGTGTTCAGAAAGCACAAGGTATTTCTTAGTAATTTCCCTTCTAAGAAGGACAAAATCATCTAAAGACATTTTTTGAGGGGGTGAAGAATTAGTCCTAGTTTGCATGTTACCATGATTTTCTCCATCAGCTTTTTCTCCTTAAAACTGATTTATTGAGACCTTGAAAACCGTTTGTGCAGGGAAAGCTGAAGTGTACAATAGGGAACATTGAAAACAACGTACTGTTTGTGTTGCTTAGAAACACTCCTGCAGTTTCCATGTGTTGCACCAGATTTATAGTTAGGATTTAGCTATTGTGTGATTGATGACTTTCTGCTACTCCTTCCCCTCCGCAGTCTCATGGAGGGAGCTGGTTTTAATGAAGTTGAAAATGATTCATTTTCTAAGGAACAGGGCTAAAAGATCTTCCATACTAAGGAGTGATTGGACTAAGAATGAATGAAAAAGCAATCATTAGTTACTTCATTTTCAAGGCAATGAAAGTCATCAGTATAGTCAGTGAATAAGGCTGTATAATATTTCACCAAAAGTCATAGGCAATTTTTTTGTCAAAATGTGTGTATGTACACACACATGCCCATACGTATTATAGGCACATTCATATATGTTATATGCTTGTGATATACATACACAAACACACTATGTCCTCTAACATAGAGATATCAGTACTCTGACCCTGGAAGAATTGAAAGGCATTTGTGTTGTAAGATCAAAAAGAAGAAAATCTAGTTTTATATCCTGCACCTTCTTCTGAATCGCATCTGAAAGGAAGCCAGAAAATTCTTTTGATGTTGTGCACATGGGCTGACCTATGAGCACACAGCACATTTTTCAAGGTTTCTTGGGGAAAATATTTCATAACAGATATATGTTTTACCTTTGGGAATTACATGAACAGTAGATTTAAAATCAAATCATATTGGTCTGCAGTATACCAGAAAGGGGGGAGGGGGAAAACATTTTCAGATTAAGAAAGTCTCTTTAAAAAAAAATATTATCGACTTTTTTAATGCTGTACATAGCTTGCTGTTAGCTATGTTCCTGCAACAGTGCAGCAGCACACCCTAAAGGCCGCCCCATGTAACTACACTAGGCTTTCTTTTTTTCATAATTCAAAATTATTTTCAGTCTTTGTTTAAGAAGATTCTTTGGCTTGTGAATTTTCCATAGTGTAATCATAGAAGGCTTCAGAATGTCAAAGAATGTACTGAAGTTTCCTTTGTAATGTTATAAATATGATTTAGGTCATGTGCACGGGGAGCCCTGGCCCTGCTCTTCCTTCTCGGAACTACCTGGATCTTTGGGGTTCTCCATGTTGTACATGCATCAGTGGTGACAGCATACCTTTTCACAATCAGCAATGCTTTCCAAGGGATGTTCATCTTCATATTTCTTTGTGTTTTATCTAGAAAAGTAAGTATTTCACCTTCATTCAGTATCTCCTGCTTGGAATGCATAAAACTGATACCCCAATGAATGAAAACAACTATCTGAAAAGAATTCATTGTTTTAACCTTTCTTTCCTAAATACAGTGAATCTCATCACCATTATTATTGATTGTTTATGGAGAGTTTCACACATGGATATTTAAGCATCTCAGTATGATACTCTCCCGTTGTCCTTGATTTTTATAAGAGACTTTGGAAATTATTCGTTGTCCTTGATTATTATAAGAGACTTTGGAAATTTACTATGAATGAATTCACAGAATTCTGTAAAAGTAATGTATTATCTCTTTTGTTTGTCTTTATTTTTTTTCCAGATTCAGGAAGAATACTATAGGTTATTCAAAAATGTTCCTTGTTGTTCTGGCTGCTTACGGTAAATAAAAGGACATTCCAACTCAATACAGGCATAAAGAGAGAAACCAGACTTAAACGTTAATTCATGAAATATGGTATTGTAAACACACCAAGTGATGTATTGGACAGTCAGACTTCAACTCAGGCACGTCATCCACATGATAGAGACTGTCATCAAATATGCAGCTAATCTATACATTCCTACAAGCCATTGTAAATTGGTGTCAAAAATAATAGACCAGATAAGTGGGGAAGGATTGAATTCTTATTAGAGATAGAGCCATATCTATCAAAAATCTTATGTCTTACCTACAGAATGATCAAATAACATGAAAGAACCACTTTTTTTCTTGAACTCTGCCTTTAAAACATGTCTCCCTCCCTCCTTTAGTAATGAATTTCTTTACCTAAAGTGGGTCACTAGATTAGGAATGAAGAGACAGAAGAACAAAACATTAAAAGAAAATGGAGACTCAAAACATTGAGCTGTCCTTCTGGCAAATTTGTCCATGTAAAGTAGCTAAGAAATGGTGAGGATGAAATAAGGACTAGAAGGAATAAACCCCTTTCAAAAATTTAAGGAAATGCTCTGAAGTTAGATTTCTGTGACCACAACTTACAGACCCCTCTTTGAGGGGTTTCCTTCTGTGAATAATACTCTGGGAGAGACTCAGGCACTTCTTAAGTTAATTGTCAAAGGGCAATTGTGCTCTGCTGATTCTTCACTTCTATGCCTTTATAAATTTAATTAAGTAAAAAAATCAATGTTGGAGAAATGTATAACCTCATGTAATGGTCCTACTGCTTGCATGTGTCAAAGACCCACTGCTATACATGTCATTAAATGTAAAGACTTTGTACATAGAGCAGATATTTCTATTTAACTTGGTTTTCCTGAAGTGAGTATTATCAGGGGAGGGGGAGAGGGGGGCCTGGTCTTTTTAGATGCTTTGTTTTTTATTGTCTGAAGTCTTATAGATCCCATTACCAAATGCCCCACATGATTCTAATTTGTCAAAGGACTTTGTAAATATGAAACTGTGCATAAATTAACTTTTCTGTTTTAAAAAGTACCTTTTTTAAAAAATATATTATTTATAACAAAGAAATCACTAAGAATTTCTGTCATATCTTCCCTGAAAACTTTTCTATAGATGTTTTGTTAGAACACGTGTGGGAAAATGTGCTGTCTATCTCCCTGATGGAAAAAAAAATTACCATTTTCCCCTCAAAGAAATAATTGCAGAATTAAATGTAATAATTGCTGCCATGTGAATTAGATCAATATATGGAGTGGTTCACTTTTACTTTAAAAAGTTTTTCCTTCATATTTAAGCCAAGCCCTACAAATGCTCCCCTACAAAATAAACTAATGCCTGAAAGAAATTTTCTTCCATCAGCTTTTCTTAGTTTTCACCAAAAATGAAATGGAAATTCATAGGCCTTCTATATTTGATGACTGTCCTGGCTGGTTGCTTTCCTTTCAGCTCCTTGTCTATTGCATGGACAGTCTGTGGCCTGTCAGAAACATCATCCTGACTGGGTATTTACTAAGTGGCCACACGTGCATGGCCATGTGTGAGTTACTGTCAGGCTGGCTGGCCCAGGAAACATGCTTTCCTACTGCATAATGACTGCAGTAGCCTGGGTGATACCAAGCAAAGCAATTTGTCTGAGAGCACAGAGGATAAGAAGCAATGGCGATGTTTATGTAATGACATCTCTAGGAGCAAGATCCCAGTCACAGATCCATATGGCAAACCTAAAACCCAGGATATTGTATGTTCATCAATCCTACCATTGATGTCAGTGGGAAACCTGGTTTCTAAGAAGACAATTGGGGGCTGGGGAGGGGGGAAATAAATCCCAGTATTTCTCTTACCAGGTTTCATATGGGGGGAATAGAATGCCCTATCTAAGAAAAATGAATTTTTTTTGCTTGTTTAAAAAAATGGATTGGAGATCATATGTCTGGAAACCACCATCCTATTTTCTCTGCTATACTGGAAATTCTACTGACTCAAATGTGATCAAAGTTAAACATTAATGGATTATCACTAATTGTTTAGCCTTGCTAACTAGGTACTTTCCCCCGTGTTCCTCACTTTAAAACCACATGCTATGGCATTACAGACTAGCATTCTGCTAGTCAATCTTCAGAAGTCATTTTATAAAGTAGGGGTTATATGGGATATAAAATAATGAACAAGAAGGGACCTCGAGCAAAATCAGGTAAAAATGCCTTTAGAGTTGGAAGGGCCCTTAGAAATCCAAATGAACAACTGTCTTCATATGAAGCCCCAAAAAGGATAGGTGCACCCAGGAGAAGTGCATTTATACCTTAGCACTGATCAATTTCCCCAAGTCTCATCAAACCTCGGTTTCCTCCTCTATAACACAAGAATAAGTAATGTGAGTGCTATCCACCTCACTGAATGCTTGTAAGGTCAGCATTTTGTAAAACTTGGCTGTAAAAATGTAAGTTTTGATTATCATTGAGTCAATTTTGTGGATAAGGAAAGTGAAGCCATGCTATTTAAATGTCCTCTTCCAAGGTTAATGGCAGTACCAAGACAAAAAAATAAGTATTTTTACTTTAGGCAGGAAACATTCTAGCTACACCCATATGCAAGGGAGTTATTGATCAATCAATCAATCAACAAACATTTATTAACATGCCAGCCACTGTGCTAAGTGATAGTGCTACAAAAAAAAAAAAAAGACAGACTGCCTACTTTCAAGGAGCTCACATTCTAATGAGGAAAGCAACATGTAAATAAGCAAATGCATGCAAGATACAGAGTAAAAAGGAGGTATCCTTGGAGGAGAAAGTCAAAGTGCCATGTTTTCATGTTTGAAACAAGAAGGACACAGAGATATGTTAATCAGTAATGTACAGGGATAGGAAAAAGGACTAGATCTGTGATTTCATTGGTATAAGGAACTCCCTATAACAATGCAAGTAACTTATAGTCTTAGAATGACCTAGATCGGCAAGAGGTTAAGTGTCTCACCCAGGTTCAGACAGCCAGGATATATTAGAGACAGCTCTTGAATACAAGACTTCCTGGCTTTGAGATCTATTCTATATTCAATGTCACTTGTCTCTATTTCCCTTTTGCATTGGCCAGATGGATTGGACTTATAATCTGATGAGTATGGTGAGCTCTTGATATGAAAACTCAACAAATCAATCAACAAGTATTTATCAAGCACCTGTAATGTTCTAAGCACTGATGTCGGCACTGGGGATACAAATACCAGAAACAGTCCGTACCCTCAAGATGTTCACATTCCACTGTGTTCACAGATATATAAACTCAGTGGGTGTGCATATATATACATATATAAAATATATATTGTTGTTATTGTATATATATGCTGTCGTTTAGTTGTTTTTCAGTCATGTTTAACTCTATAATCCCATTTGGGGTTCTCTTGGCAAAGATACTGAAGTGGTTTGCCAATTCCTTCTCCAGTTTATTTTACCAATAAGGAAACTGAGGCAAATAGGGTTAAGTGACTTTCTCAGATTCTCACAGCTAGTATATGTCTGACACCAGATTTGAACTCAAGAAGATGAGTCTTCCTGACTCCAGACCTAGCACTCTATCCACTGCACCAACTAGCTGTGCCTATATTTGTGTGTATGTATGTGTATGTATATGTATACGTATATTTATGTGTATGTATATATACATATACACACATACATATGTGTGTACATACACACACAACAACAACAACAACAAATGCACAGTTGGAGGAGGGGACTACCAACTGAAGAATCAGGAAAGACTCCTTGAAGAAAGTAGCAGTTAAAATGAGTCTTGAAGAACAACTCTGTATTCTGAGAAGTAGAAAGAAGGAGGCAGAGAGCTCCAGTCTTTGGAGTAAGTGTGTGCAATGACATAGAGATGGGAGATGGATTGTGATGTATGGGAATCTCCAAGTCAACCAGACTGGCTGAAGCATAGAGGATGTGTAATGTGTAGTTAGGATAGATTTAGTTTAGATTGTGAAGGCCAAAGAGAGGAGCCTTAAGGGACATTACGGGAATCGCTTGAAGTTTCTTGAGCAAAGTCAGACCCTTCATTTAGGAATGTCAATTCGACAGCTAAATGGAAGATCGTATAGAGATGGGAGAGACTAGAAGCACGGAGATCTTTTAGCAGTCTATTGCAATAGTCCAGAGAAGAGGTGATGACTTCTTCTGCCAATCAGTAGCCAAGCTATAAGTTAGTCAGTCTCCTGGGGCACTCAGACCTTAAGTCATTACCCTTTACTTATATTACAAAACTATTTGGAAATCCATAATCCACATTTGCATAGATAGGCCCAAAATGTAACTGGCCTGGGAAATTTTTCATTATTATATTAATAATATCATTAATAGTAAATGTGTTTTCCTGAATCCAATTTTCCTCTCCCCCTCTGAGATGGATAGGTAAAATCTTAAGGGTGCATGGGAATCATTTGTGAAATGAGCAACAATTTCACATGTATTATTTTGGTAGGCGATAAAGGGGTGCATGAATGGATTTCATGAGCTAAACTTTTTTAAAATGGGAAGAATAGAAGTGAAAGTATGAGACACAGTGATATCCTTTACAAAAACTTACAAGTTACTGCTAAATACATTCAATAGAATGAAAGCTCCAGGAGGACAGGACTTAATTTTGTTCTTGTATTCCCAGAGTCTGGTGTTTTGCACAAAGCAGGCACTTAACAAAACTTTATGAATTGAATTGAATTGAATTGATTCACAATCAATTCTTACAGTTTAGTAGGAAGAAAAGAGATTTATGAATAAAAATGGAGAAGATAAAATAGTTTATAATTATTTAAGCATAGATGACAGACTAAAGCCATAAACTACTTTCATGACGTAAACTACACTCAACACTCTTCGGTAGCTCCCCTTTCCATTTGCACCAAGTTTAAATTCTTTACCTGGCAGCCAAGACATACATCCCCTGTGCCACACTCTGTGTTCAGTTACTTCTCACTACTTATCTATACACATCTCATTGAATCAGGCTAGGACCCTTCCTGTCCCATAAACAGCCAGTGCATCAACATGGATTTATTAAGCACTTATTATGTGCCAGGCACTGTTCTAAGCATTGGGATTACAGAGCCAACAGGATCCTTATTGCCCTCTTCAACGATACTCTCTCTACTCTTGGTCTTTATAAACTACTTTAGCCTCATTCTTTTTCCTGTCTAAAAACTTTTCAGTCTCCACTGCTTATTCTTTGCCTTACTCTTGTCCCTTAAGTGTGAGTGTTCCATAAGCTTCTCTCCTAGGGCCTCTTCTTTCTGTATATGTTTTGTTTTTATTTTAATGATCTTTTCAAAATATCATAGATCTAATTATCACCTCTACACTGATGACTCCCAAATTTAATCATCTGTCCCTAATGTCTCCCATGATCTCTCATCCTGCTTAGTCAGTTGCTTCCAGAACATCTAGAACTGTCCCACCAGTACCTCAAACTTACTTGATCTGGTATCATCTGGTATCTGAATGCATATCACATCTTCCCTAATATAAGTTCTTTGAAGTCTGAGACTGTCTTTTTTTCTCCTTTCTTTTCTTTTAAAAGAAAATGTATCCCTGTCACCTAGTAAAGTGACTTATACATTTTAGCAATTAATAAATGCTTGTTGAATTTTTTCAAGCAAATCTCACACTAATTCCCATCTGCACACCTCTATTCTTGCTGTCCCCCCTGCCTGAAATGCCTTCCAGGATGGACACTCTGAGGAGGAAGCAGCTGCTCGTCTTTTAAGGAAAGATGATGTATATTCCTAAATTCCGTCAAGTGAGAAGTAATCAAGTAAGGATCAGAGGAAAATGAGACAAGCAGCATTATATAGTTGAAATAGGATTGGATGTGGAGTCTAGAGACCTGGGTTCACTCGGCTGTGAAACCACTCTTGACTATTCCATTCTCTGATCTCACCCTTCTCCCAAATGCAGAGCTCACTCAGTACAAAAGAATTTAATACTTAATTACCCAGTCTTTGCAAATTCCTTATGCAACTTGTCAATTTTTAACTTGTATGTGTTTTGCTCCATTCTAGATGTCAGAATGCAAAGCAATGA